GGATACAATGCACCATTAGTATTTACATTGGCGCTATTTCACAGGTTTAGCCCTTTAATGAAGGCACAGATATGGAGTGCATGAAAGCACATATCAGATCCCATGAACGGCAGGAACATGGGTCAGAACATTCAGCCGCAAAGCAAAGGAGCACCTCAGGCTGATCTGAAGTGACTTCCTTTGGCTCATTAAATGAGCAATGGACCAGGGTGTATCTGGCCTTCCATAACCAAATGGACATTTCTCACCATATACTTTTTTTAAGGGAAGGGAGAGATGATAAATAAGGAAACTCTTCCAAAAAGGAGGTAACAAGATGGGCTAAGGAAGAAATCCGCACAAAATCCAAAAGGAGGGTGGTGGGGGGAACAGATAAAAGATAAGTAAAAAGGAAGATGGTAAAGGGAGACTATGGAGTTTCAGCTAATCCTGCAGTTTTAAATAACAGTAATATATAATTTTATTTAACTGAGAAGCTGCTCATAAAACCTCCCCTTAAGCACTGGAATACCCTCTTTATTTGAGGGCAGGAAAAAAGGTGAAGATAGTCTTACAAAAACAAAAAAGTGAAATTAAACCTATGATCTGCCCTCTGGGAAAGATCTGCTGCTTTTAGAATCAAACAGTTCAATTAGTTTCATAAGACCAGTTGGGTAGAGAACAGAAATGTGTTTAAAATGCCATTTAATCATAATACATTAATCTGGCTCTCGCTCTTTTCATGTCGTTTATTAAAATGATTTTCTGAAAGTGTTCTAGGGTGTGGATTTTTTAAATCCTGACATTAACTGACATCTAGACGTCTTTTTATACCTTTACTCTGTTACATACTAGAAATGGATGTGGGAAGGGAAAAAACAAAGACTTCAACAATCTGTTAGTGATTCATATTGATCTTTTGGTTTGCTAGAGAATGGAGAGGTTTTGGACAATTAAACACAAGGTGGCAAACACAGGGATTTTAAATGGCTGTAAAACCACGCTATACACCAGTATCTACGTAAAAACCAGTGAGAGAAAGAGAGAAGAGAGAGCAAAATCACCTATGCCATTTAAAGGAAAATCTTTCAAAGTGCCAAGCAGTAAATCGTGCCTGCTTTACAGAACTGTGTTAAAATCAGCAGAGGACAGAATACCCCCACCTCCACAGTTCCTTCTAAGGCTATGTCTACACTAGAGACCTGACAGCGGCACAGCTGTACCTATGCAGCTGTGCCACCGTAAAACCTCCTGTGTAGCCCTCTATGCCGACGGGAGAGAGTACTCCTATCAACATAATTAAACTACCCCAACAAGTGGCAGTAGCTATGTCAGTGGGAGAGCATCTCCTTTCAGCAGAACGCTGTCCACACCGGCGCTTCTGTTGGAGTAACTTATGTTGGTCAGGGGTGTGTTTTTTCACACCCCTGAGCAACATAAGTTTTACCGACAAAAGTGCTAGTGTAGCCATAGCCTTCGTGGATACATATAATCTGCGAGCTTCCTAGTGTGCAAGGAGAAGGAGCCAACTAATGCTGTTTGCAGTGCAAACTAGCCCTGTGAGGAAGGTGTATGGGTGGGGCCTTGTCTCCTGCCTTTTGAAACAGAAAGGCTTTTTAAAAGGCATGGCAAGGTGCTGCCTATGCACCTTAGCTCTCAGGAGGCAATATATCTTTCCAAGGCATAATGCCTCCAGTTACTGCTATTGAGGCACTGTACCTTCTCCTCCCCTTGACAGTCTGGGTCTTGAGAGACTGAACTGAATCCCAAACAAGGGCTTAGCTGCACGCAAATACCAGGGTTAGAACCCTGATATTGGCAGATCTTATTTAAAGTTTCTGTATATCAAGGCCAGATCTTTCAAACCCCAAACTGACCATCATAATAAGTTGCTTCTCCAATCTACGTGCATAGATATTTACAAATATTACTTAAAACAATTAATAATTTATGTATGCATAGATGTGTCATTCTCACAAATAAAATATTTTCTTATACATAAACACAGATTCCAATGCCAAAAGATCCAACCTGATCTCCTATATGACACAGGTCATGGAATTATTTTGGGGAAGCATTCAGAGCATATATTTAAGAAAATCATTCAATCTGATTTAAAAATTGCCTGTGGTGGAGAATATACCATGACCCTTGATGGGATTGAGTAATTGTTCCAATGCTCAATTACCCTCACTGTTAAAAATACACCTCTACCCCGATATAACACGAATTCGGATATAACGCGGTAAAGCAGTGCTCCGGGGGGGTGGGGCTGCACACTCCGGCGGATCAAAGTGAGTTCGATATAACGCTGTTTCACCTATAATGCGGTAAGATTTTTTGGCTCCTGAGGACAGCGTTATATCAGGGTAGAGGTGTATACACCTTATTTCCAGTCTGAATTTGTATAGCTCCACTGGATCAGTTTTACCTTCTCTGCTAGGTAACTGCTAGACCTTCTCTTTGTTAAGCTAAATAGATTGAGTTCCTTGAGTTTATCACGGTAAGGCAGGTTTTCTAATCCTTTAAGCATTCTCGTCGCTCTGCTCTTAACTCTCTCCAATTTATCAACATCCTTCTTGAATTGTGAACTGGACACAGTATTCCAGCAGCGGTCGCACCAGTACCAAATATAGAGGTAAAATAACCTCTTCTCCTACTCAAGATTCCCCTGTTTATGCATCCAAGGATTGCATTAGCCCTTTTGTGCACAGTGTCTCACCAACACCCCCCACCTACCCCCAAACTTTTTTAGAGGCACCACTTCCCAGGATAGAGTCTTCCCCACCATGGTGTAAGTTTGGCCTGCATTCCTTGTTCATAGATACACATATACATATATACACACACACACACTTAGCCATATTGTTTGCTTGCATCCAATTTAACAAGATATCCAGATCACGCTAAATTAGTGACTTGTCCTCTACTATTTACCACTCCCCCAATTTTTGTATCATCTGCAAGCTGGATCACTGATGATTTTATGTTTTCTTCTGGGCCATTGATAAAAATGTTAAATAGAGTAGGGCCAAGAACTGATCCCTGCAGGATCCCACCAGATGACGATTCTCTATCGTTTTGAATCCTATCAGTTACCCAGTTTTTAATTCATTTAATATATGCCAAATTAATTGTATATCATTCTAGTTTTTTAACCAAAATATTATGCATTACCAAGTTAAACACCTTACACAGGTCTAAGATTATTACCTCTGCACTATTGTGTTTTTCAACCAAACTTGTAATCTTATAAAAAAAAGATATAATTAGTATGACAAAATCTATTTTCCATAAAAATTAATGCCAATCAGCATAGGTTATTACCATCTTATAATTCTTTATTAATCAAGTCCTGTATGGCCACTCCATTATCTTGCCTGGGATCAATGTCAGACTGACAGGATTATAATTACCCAGGTCATCCCATTTACACTTTATTAAATAGTGGCACATCATTAGCTTTCTTATAGCCTTCTGGAACTTCCTCAGTGTTCCAAAACTTTTTTAAGAGAGCTGATTTTTAATCTCTTGGATGCAAGTGATCTAGAAATGCTGATTTAAAAATATCTAACTTTAATAACCTCTGTTTAACATCCACCTGAGATACTACTGGAATGGAAAGAGTGTTATCGTATGATGAGACTACATAGTCTGTTCCTTTTCCAAATACAGAATAGGAATATTTATTGAACACTTCAGCATATTCTGCTTTATTATTGCTGGTTCTACCATTTCCATCTAGTAATGGACTAACACCCTTGTTAAGATTCTTTTTCCCTAATATACATTTTTTTTAAATCTCTCTTATTGTCCTTAGCTCTGCTGGCCACAGATTTCTCCTTGAGTCCCTCTGTTTCCCTTATCAATTTTCTGCAATGTCTAAGTTCTGATTTATGTTCATTACTATCAACTTCCCCTTTCTTTCATTTGTTATATATTATTTTTTTACCTGCCTTCACTTCGCCTCTAGAGTTGCTCTTTAAAAAACAAAAACAATACAACCTTCTTCCTCGATTGTGGCTTTTTGGGCATCTAGTAAAGTGTTCTTAAGCAATTCCTAGTCATCATTCACATTTTTCTGATTAAATTCTTCCTCCCAAATGATTTGGCTCATAATTGTTTTCAGCTTTATGAAACTGGCCCTTTTAAAGCACCAAGCGTCTGTGAGTGTGAGTATATATGCATTACTGGTCTGAACTTTATTCTGTTAACATATTATAAACGTGATCATGATCACTTGTACCTAAGTTACCATTACTTTTTATTTCTTGTGACACAGAATACTGGACAAACTGAAGATTGTGGAGAAACTGCAGAAAAACTTTCTTCACAAGAAATGATACAAAATTTCCAGAGTTTCAGACCATTTTTGTTATGCTTGTAAATTTTCTGAAGAAGTTTTTAGTACAGTGGGAATAAATGCCAGAAAAACAACTTGCTGGTAAAAGTTCCAGTATCTCGCTCCTTTACTCCAGTCATGTTTAAAGCTGAGCTATCTTTATGAAGAGCTCTTTGTAAAATTGCATTTTTTTTTAATGCATTTGAGACTGTTTCCTTTTACAGTGTTTTGTCCTGCATTTCATTAATCTACAACGCAGTTATCTTTCAGATTTATGCCAATGAATGAGCTAACTGGAAGCTTCTGTGAGGCTTAGTATTTTAAACATCTTCTAGGGTCCAATCCTGCAATGAGATTTCTGCAGATGCCTGCTCCTACTGATTTCATTGCAGGATCAAGGCCTTATTGATCCATGGTTGTATTTCAAACTTGGAAAAATAAATAGAAAGATCCACAATCAGAAATGCAACAAAAACGTCCAATATATACTTCAGAAACTTTACAACAATAAATAAGCAAATAAATTCAATCAATGGTTTAAAAAAAATCAGAAGTGCCGGCTAACTCTCTCTGTTTTAACAACACTAAATTGCAAGAACTTTGGTTGACTTTTATGGAAACCTTAAAATACTCAATAGTTAGACTCTCTAAAATTTCTTTGGTAACAGTAATACATTACCTGGCAAATTAGTCTTCATTATATCAATGCCAACTTGAAGCTCAGGCTCAGCTGCAAGAACTGCATAATCCCCTTGATGAGAGACATTAAAATTGAAATTGGGATGGATACCGAGTATGTCATTCACCAGGAAGGGTTTTCCTTTTGATGTCCTTTGCAAGTGTATTTCATTCCAAGGTATCCATAGTTTTTCTGCAATTAATTTTCTTATCAGCAGACGACCAGCCTATGAAATAAAAAAAAGTTTAAAACGATGCATATGGAACCATTGTGCCATGTACAAAGAACAATTTGTAACTGCTAAAATACCAGTTAGTTTACTTACTTGGGAAGTAGGGCTAAGTTTTACTTGTTACTTAAAGAAACTTGCTATTTACAAAAACCATAGCATAATATAAATGAAAGAGCTAAAATGTTTACCAGCTCAGATACATTTTACACAAGCATTTATTTGTGATGTATCAATAATTTATGCAGCACGGTACAACGCAAACCCCGTTCTAAAGATTCGTATTATCTGAAATAGGATTTCCCTCCTTTTACCAGCTCAACATCTTTCTGCTGAGGATGTTTTATTCCCCGGCCCCCAACAGTGAATATTTCTTTGCATTGATTTAAAACTCTCTCACCTTTCCTATTAATGTTGTTTTTGAATGAAGGGCTTGTGGAAGTAGAACAGTTAAAAATGATCATTAATAAAACAATTAGTTATAATTTATATTACTCAAGTTGTTGATATAAAGCTTGAACTTCACCTTTGCAGAGTTTTAAAAGATACAGTCATATTCTTACACATTATGCTTCCTAGTTATACAACCTCACATTGTTGCTGGTTTTTATTTCATGAAATAAAATTATAAAACAACAAGGTTGAGAGAATTCTTTCACAATCCCTTGTGACCTGCTGTCTGTCAATAGTCCACAGACAGTACCCCTCCCCCTGCTATAACTAATACCACTAAGACAACAGAGACTGGTCATTGGTGTATTTGATTCCTCAAACTGCTCCGAAAAAGATGCGCCTTGCAGCATACACTGAAGGTCAAAAGTTGGGCTACTCTGGATTAGGGGAGGGAGAAGTACATTCTAAAGGAAAGAGGTAGCCCTGAGCAAGAGAACACCTTGTATAGCAAAACCCAGCCTGCAGCTGCCTCCAGAACTTCAGCTGATTTAAACTATGGCAGCATGTCATGGTGAGACAGGCAGTATCTCAGGTATGAAGGACCTAAGCCAGTTATGCATATGCTACACCTGGGACTGAGACTTGAAGGGTATGTCCATACTGGCACTGCATTTAGGAACAAGCCTCACAATCCAGGGCCACAGACTTGTGCTACCGGGGCTTGTAAGCCTTGTATTAGAATGCTGAAAAATGGCTGTGTATAGGTTGCCTTCAGGTTAAGTCTGGGTCTCAAGCCCAGGGAGGGGGTGCTGCTACTGCAAGTCTATGGCCCTGAGTCGGGAGGCTTGTTCCTAAATGCAGTGCCAGTATGGACATACCCTTTGAACTCCTCCCAGAAACCAGTATAGGGCATGGAGTGCTGGCTACGTGTGCTGGCAGCGGGACTCTGGCTGCCCTGCGGCAGGTTCAATTGGTGGAAAAGACAGCGTTTGGCGCATCTTCCAGCAGACGGGGATAGGGACCTTCTATTTTACACAGGCAAAGCACCATGCACGTGCATGGCTCTTAATAACCGTAATAAACACCAGGGTCAAAAACGGGCACTGCGTTAAATAAATTACCCGCGTTTCCTCCTGCCCTAGTAACTCCCTTTTTACACGCGGCTCCCCCCGCGCTCTCGCCATAAAGCGCAGCAGCCTCCTCTACCATGGCAGCCTTGGCATCCCGGGCAAAGACGAACTGGCGGACGCGGTCCTTCTCCTCGGGCTGCACCAGGCGCGAGGCCAGCAGCCACTGGTCCCGGCGCGGGGCCCAGGCGGCGCAGGGGAAGGCCCAGCGCACGCTGCCCATAAGGAATCGCTGGGCGCCCCAGCTCCCGTGAGCCCGCAGGCCTACGGCTGCTCCGGGAGCGCGCCTGGCCACTAGGGGACTGCAGTGTCAGACTCCCCTTAGCCCTGCCGGGGACGCGGGGCGCGAGGGGGCGCCGGGGGAACCCAGCCCTCCCACTCGGGGGCAGTATAATGGCCACCGCCCCAGCGCCCCTAACTGAAGGGGGCGGGGCCCTGCGGGGGGAGGCGACAGGGTCAGTGGCTGGACGTCTTAGCCCCGCCCTCACCCGGCACGTGGACCAGTCAACTGCACCTGCCTACAGACAACGAAGCGCGCTCCCGTGCCACTCGAGGCCGTGCGCGTCCCTGGTACTGGGGGAAAACTTAACAGGGCGCGCGCCTTCCTGCCCCTGGGAAGAACGCCCCGCGCGCACCTCTCTCTGTCTCAGCTTGTTTCCAGAACACATCCCCAGCCGGCAAGAGTGTAAGTGACGGGACGACGAACCAATCACCAGCCTACCAGGGACGGCGGCTGCTACGTGATGGGGCGGGCGAGGAGGAGCCCAGCAGCCGTTAACAGAGGGCGGGGTTACTTCCGAGGACAACGCCGGAAGCCACTCCGAACACAGGGATGGAGAGACTGACAGCCGGCTGAGCCAATCAGCGTGCAGCGGCAGCATAGTGGGTCGGCAAGACGGGCCGCACCGTTGCTGCTCTTGGCTGCAGGTGGGTGTCTGCGCGTTATTGAGAAGGCGGCGCGAAGATGGGGCAATGGGTCTCTGAAAGGTCAGCCGCCGCGGGTGGGTGCTGGAGGTCACCCCATCCAGCGGGTTGGCTCCTGGGGTGAGGCCCGGTCAGCATCCGCCTGCCCGTAGTGTCAAAATTTACCTCCCTTCAGAATGAGCGCCGTGTTGTTACCGAGCATGCGCGAGCTGTGCGAACATGCGCAGTGGCAACGGCTGAAGCCAGCCCGGCCAGAATCCGCTCACTGCGCTAATGGCAGCGAAAGCGGGGGTGGGGGGGAGAGACGCTCCTAGGACCGGGGCTCTGCAGCGCCCCCTATGCCGGCTGTCTGCTTTGTAGTCACAACGACTCTAGCCCAGTTACTCCTGGGGGCATGCTGCGCCAGACAATTTAAAATTCTGAAAAAATCTGCATCTTTTGTCAAATAAATGTGGTGACTCCCGCATGGCATTGGGGAGCACAGGCCACTGGCTGCAGCTGCACCGAGATGGGAGATCGCTGTGCAGCTCCCCTGGGGACATGGACTCAGCAGTGAGGCTGCACCCAACCCTGACACAACACAAGGACAGAGCCTGTCCCCCTCTGTGCCAGGTGCACCAGGTGTGGGCAGGCAGGATCTTAGAGTGGGGGGGATCCAGGTGTGGGTTGAGAGGGTTCTGTGGGGGGCAATCTGGGTATGGGCGGCTCAGGGAGGAACCAGATGCGCAGGGGCTTCTTGTGGGGTTCTGGGTGCAACTGTAATGGGACTCTGCAGAGGGTCCAGGTGAAGGTGGGTGGGACTCAGCAGGGGGGCCTGGGTGTAGGGGGGGATAGAGCTCGGTGGGGGTTCTGTGTGTGGTGGGCAGAGTGGGGGAGTCCAGGTGCTGGGGGTGTGGGGTTTGGTGGGGTGGGAATCCAGGTGCAGCTGTTTGGGGCACGGTGGGGTGGGATCTGGGTGTGGATGGCTCATTGGGGTGATCCAGGTGCAGGAGGAGTAGAACTCGGCAAGGGGGGTTCTGAGTGTGGGGGCAAGGCTTAGTGGGAGGGTCTGGGTATGAGGGGGTCTGGATACATGGGGGTTGGGTGGATGGGGGAGCAGCTCCCTTTACAGTGATACCTTCCCCTGCAACTGAGGAGCGATGGGTGCAGGAAGCACGGGGGAGAGGGGGCAGTTTGCAGAACTTCCTGCAGCCAGGGGAGAAATCTGGGGGTGGGTGTGACCCGGCCCTGGATGTCGTGCAGGGGAAGAGAAAGTCCCATCCTTCCCAGCCCCGCCGGGACTAGCAGCTGAGCCCAGCGCAGGGGAGGAGCCACCAGCCAGGTCTTTCCCAGTCCCACCCCCTGCCCCACAGTGATTTACCTCATGGCTGGCTGCCCTGGGTACCCGAAACATACTGCTGGGGAGGGTTGTATGACCGCTCTTGTGGTTTCCCTTTGCTTTCCTGTCAGAAAGTCATTTTTCTGCGGGGAAGCAAAGAAATCTGTAGGGAACATAAGTTCTGCGCATGCGCAGTGGTGCAGAATTCCCCCAGGAATACTCAGTGCCTAGAAAAACCCCCAACGCCGCCCACACTGTCCTCAAGCATGGGTGCGTGGCCAGGTGTGCAAGCCCTGCCCTTCTCCATGGCTGCCCCCAGGATTGGGCACCAAACGGACAGAGGAGAGGGGATGAGACACAGTGCTGTTGTAACATGGGACAGGGAGAGGCACAACCACGACAAGTCCCGGGGATATCGGTCTCTAGTCTGCCCACTCCACCCTCGCTCCCTACTTTTGTGCAAGTGTAGAGAGTCCCTCCCACTCACCTGCACCATCTTGCCCTTGTAATGCTTCACTCCACCAGTTTTTCCTGATGAATAAGGATATGATTCGGTCACGGAAGTCACTGATTCTGGGACTTTCTGGGACTACTTCTGTGGCAGGGCTGGAGCAGTTGTCAGCCCCAGTGCTGCTGGAGCAGTGGCCACCAGAAGAGCTGACTAGCAGTCAGCCCCAAGCGCCAAACATCTTACCAGTGGTCAGCCCAGGGCCACCGAACAGCTGACTGGGGGCCAGGAGGAGCAGCAGTGGGGCTGGAGCAGCTGCAAACCCCAGCACTGCTCTGTTTGTCCCCCGCCCCGGGTATTTTTTAGTAAAAGTCAGGGACGGATCATGGGCTTCTGTGAATTTTTGTTTATTGCTTGCGACCTGTCCCTGACTTCTATTAAAAATACCCATGACAAAATCTTAACCTTACTGATGGATAATCCCAGAGCTGCTTCCTCCCCCGAGTGGCTGCTATTGCAGGGTCCATCCTTCTGAGGGAGCAGAAAAGCAGCGTTCATCAAGCCCAGTGCCAGCATTGGACTTGTGGGAGGGAGGTACCTGTGAAAATGGATGATGAATGATTGCACCTTTTGCCACTTTCTCAAGATTATGTTTCTTTGTTTAAAATGAATGAATTTAATAGTTCTGACAGGGTCCAGATTAACAGCTCCAGAAACTGAAGCCCATTGGCAACATGGTGTGTTGACTTCATGGTGTGAAGAACTCTGGCCTTCACAATCTATCTCTGTAGATGTAAGTCTGTTTCATTTCCTATGATCATTTTTTCCCCACTCAAGATCTCTGGCAGAGATATAAAGTTATGTCTTCACTGTACTTTTGTTCACTGCATTTTCACTGCATTAAAACCTTTGTTGCTCAGAAGTGTGAAAAAACACCCCTCTGAACAACAAAAGTTTTAACAACAAAAAGTGTTTGTGTGCACAGGGCTTCGTCGGCAGGAGATGCTCTCCCGGTGACAAAGCTACCGCCCCTCGTTCAGAGTGGTTTTATTTTGTTGTCAGGAGAGCTCTCTGGCGATGAAGAGTGGCTTCATTGCTTGTTTTACAATGACGCAGCTGCAATGGTACATCCGCGCCGTTGTAAGGTGCGCAGTGTAGACATAGCCTAAGGCCTTGGCTACACTACACCGTTTTGTCAGCAAAAGGCAGCTTTTGTTGACAAAACATTGGAGGTGTACACACTACAATGCTCCTCCCACCGGCAAAACTCTCATGCTTTGCTGACAAAATAAAACCACCTGAGAGGCATAGAGCATTTTACAGCAAGGTTAGATCGACAAAGTGTCAGTATAGTTGCTGCGCTTGGTTTTGTCATTGTTAATAGCTTCCAAGAGGTGTCCCACAATGCCCATCCTAACTGCTCTGGACAGCAGTTTGAAATCTGCTCCTGTGCATCCAGATACACAGGCATCCGCCCCCTCCCCTTTAAAGGCCTGGGAATTTTTGAAATTCCATTTCCTGTTTGCTCGGTGTGGAGAGCTCATATTGCATCTTAACCATGGTGACTCAACGCAGCAAACACTCTCCCTCTTGGAGCACAGCTGAGTTGTTTGATCTGCTGACACTGTGGGGAGAGGAGGCTGTGCACCCCTAGCTCCACTCCAGCCATAGGAACTTAGATACCTGCACGCAGATTTCTCGTGATTTGTTGAATAAGGACTATGAACAGGATGTGGTGCAGTGTCATGCGAAGATAAAGGAGCTGAGGTAGGCATACCAGAAGGCAAGGGGGGCAAACCATCCTTCTGGTGCTGTGCTAAAGACCTGCCTCTTCTATAAGGATTTGGATGCCATCCTTGTTGGCGACCCCCACCTCCACTGCCAAGAACCCCGTGGATACTTTGGCAGGGTTGGGGGTGGCAGATAGTGAACCTAACCCCAAGGACAAGGTCAAGTTGGAGGACAATGTAGAGCACATGGCAGGGTCGTACGGTGGCACGGTGAGTCAGCACCTCTTTTCTACTCCGGAGGGGTCTAGCCAGCCCCAACAGTCCATCTCTGGCGCACATGATGCAGAAGAGGAGAGCCGTGGTAAGTGATATTTTTGAGTTGATGCTGCTCGGTTATGTGAGGTGGAGCTGTGCTTTGCTCTGTATGTTGTAGAAGTGGGTGAAGGAATACAAATGTGCATAACTAGCTGTGTTTGAGCGTGCTCCACATTCTCTGCTGCAGATAAGAAGTGTAGTGGAACTGTGTGTTAATGCACTGTTAAAACCAAGATTTCACTGGAATCCTCCAGAGAGATCTCTAGGAAAATTTCCTGGTGGTATCGCCAATCTTCTTCCAAAGGTTCCTTGGCAGAGCAGGGAACTTTCCCCCACCACTTTACACAGACCAAAGCAGCACACAGGTGAGGAACATAGGCACCGTGTCTGAAGGAACATGCATATAGTAGATACACCCTTGCATCCTTGCTCACCCTCAGGAGTGAGATATCGGCTTCAGTGACCCCCCCCCACGCCCCGCCTGTGGAAAATGGTGGTAGAGTTTACAGTATTGTCCCTAATCACCTTCACTGAGCCACTTAAAAAAAAAAAACACTTAGACCATTTGCCCTATCTTGAATGCCCAACCCCCACCTAGGCTGAACTTGCTATGTTTCGGGTGTTTGCTGAGATGTGTGCTTACCAAGGGACAGTGAGAAAGTGATTATGTTAC